CCAGGAATATAGCTCAGTGGCACAGCACCAGCCTGACAAATGCAAGATTCCCAGTATCAAAAAAAAAAAAAACAATTAACTTAAACTGGGCACAGCAACCCAGCCCTGTAATTTCAGTACTGTGACAGACTAAGGCAGGAGGATTCTAAGTCTGAGTCCAGCTTAGGCAATTTAGTGAGACTGTCTCAAAATAAAAAAGGCCTGGGAATGTAGCATTTGGCAAAGGCCCTGTGTTAAATCCCAAGTAACACAAAAAACAAGGCAACTGAACATTAACTTTAAAATAATCCTGTTATAAAAAATGTTGACTGGGCCAGTGAGATAGCTCAATGGGTTAAGTGCCTACTCAGGCAAGCACGGGGACCAGTTTCCATCCCAGATACCACATGCAGTGCCAGCCCCGCCCCTAGGTAGTGCACACCTGTAATCCCAGCACTGGGGAGGCTCAAAACAGGAGGATCACTAGGAGTCCAAGCTGTATAGTGAGACCTTGTACCAAATATATTTTTAAAAAAAATTTTTTTTTAACTTTTCTAGGCTGGGGGGATAGCTCTAGGGTCTAAGTGCCTGTCTGGCAAGCACAAGGACCCAGGTTCAATCCCCAGTACCGCATGCCGCACCAGCCCCAGATGCCAGCTACCAAAACCAGGTGAGCAGCACATGCCTATAATCCCAGTGCTGGGAAGGCTGAGACAGGAGGATCACTAAAGTCTGAGCTGCATTGCAATACAATACCCTGTACCAAATTAAAGATAACAAAAAATTTTTTTTGATCTTTCCATAAAATAAAATGGAACCCTAGTTTTATTTCCTACAAAGCAAGTTTATTTTACTACTAACTTACACAGAAGCTCCCTGTACTTAATTTTCTAAATATGCACATCTTTTTTTATTGTACATTTTATATATACCGATAGCATTCATCACAGGGGATTCGTACTTGTACATGATACATCTTGCTGCTTTTTTTCCCATTCCCCTTGCCTCTTCAACCCCCTTCTCCCTCCATACTGACAAAAGCTTTGCTTCAATTTTTTTTTTTCTCGTCTCTTCTTTAACCTTTCTCCCTCTCCCTTCCTTGTTCCCCTTCTCATTTGAACATTTTCTTCTCATTTCCTAGTATCTATTATACACTAAGGTCTTTATACACATTTTTGGTTTCTCACACCAGGGGAATAAGGTGGTAATACACTAACATTAAATGGTCATTAGCATATCAGTGCTCCAAAGATTAACAGACACATATCCTCTAAGCTAGGAATGAGTAAAGTGTGGCCTGTTTCGGCAGCCTATTTTTTTTTTTTTTTTTTTTTCCTATCTGCATGCTAAGACAGATTTATACAGTTTTTAAATTTTTCCCTTTTTTTGGCAGAACCAGGGATTGTAGGGGCCAGGGAGATGGCTCAGTAGAATAAGTGCTTGCCTGGCAAGCGCAAGGGCCTGAGTTCAATCCCTGGTTCCGCCAAAAAAAAAAAAAAAAAAAGCAGCAGGGATTGTACTCAGGCCCTTGCGCTTGCCTGGCAAGTGCTTATTCTACTGAACCATCTTCCTGGCCCTTTTAAATTTTTCTTTAAAAAGCCCAAAATGAACAAAACTCCAGAGGCTACCCACAGACTGTATGTGTCCTGCAAATACGAGAATTTTTACTGTCTCACCCTTCACACAAAGAAGTTTGCTGACCCTCTCTCTGCTCCAGCTGCTGAATAAATAACATCCACTCAGACACAGACTTTGTGTGTTTTACCTATTGTTAAACAGATTCTGGAGAGATTCTGGGGTAGAAAGCACTGGTTCTACATCCTGGTCACTGAGAGGTAAAGGGTCACCTGATGACTCCAGCATTTGCTTAAGGCCAACTATGTTGTCCAACAGGGAATCCAGATTGTCATCATCTTTCGAATGTTCCTAGACACAAACAAAAGCAGAATGAGAATGTGTGGGTAAACCTCAACACACATGCCTATAATCTACTGACTCTTTAGCAGAAAAGAGTGAGGTATTTTACTATTAAAAACTTTCAAACACCATTATGTGATCTTAAAAACATAACATTAAACCTATTAAAATAAAATGAACACGAAAGGCACCTGTCATTCTCTGTCCTATCGTTCTGTGGAACTGGAGATCACACAGTAGGCAAGGATTTAACCACTGAGCTATTCCCCAGCCTCCATTTTAATTCTGAGCATTGGCAGTAGGAACAGAATACCTTCACACAATACACAAACACTGCCTTAAGATTCATAACACGAAAGGACTTGACTCTAAATTGTTAATACAGAGTCATCTGCAACTGTATAAATACCCAACTACAGGGTCACTATTTTAAAAAGTCACTACAATAAACTAGTCTGGTCAAATTCAGAAAATATGCTTCAAGAATGCTGTTAATATTTTGTTTCTGTTTTTTTGTTTTTGTTTTTGTTTTTGTTTTTACCAAAACAAGCTTCTCTAGTTCAAGGAACAAATTTTCTGGACTTTCTTCTTTGCTTTGTAGAAGCTGTTTTAACTCTGCAGCATTAATACTCATCGTCCGTGATGAATGAGCTCCCTCTACTTCCATGAGACCACTATCATCTCCACAACATCCCTGTAAATGTCACACACAAGTTAAATTTGAGAGCAGAAAATTTCCAAAGATGCTTCTCAATTTATTCAGATATTTAAGTCATTTGCTGTAATCGTCCCCTGGTCCCCATTGTATCACAACAATTGGATTTAGTTAGCTCAACATAAAGGACAGTTTTTTTTGAGTAAGATCCAGAAAACAAATGGGTAAACAGATACACATTCAGCTTACTGACATCAGAACTCAAGACAGACATTCAATGGCAAACACACTGATACCTGTAGGTCATATGACAAACTTATGCTCAAGAATTAACGTCTGCTGTAACAAGCAACTACAAAACTCAAAAACTGTACTACAGCCAGGTATTGTGGTACACCTTATAATTCCAGCACTCGGGATGCTGAGGCAGAAGGGTCTTTATGAGTTCAAGGCCAGCCTGGGCTACATAGTGAACTGAAGGACAGCCTCAACTATATAGCCAGACCCTGTCTAACCTGCCCCACTGACAAACATGGTGGCACACATCTGTAATCTCAGCACTTGGGGGGCTGAAGCAGAAGGATCACTGGATTTGAGACCAGCCTGGGCTACCTAGTGAGTTCAAGGCCGGCCTCAACTTCATAGCAAAACCTTGCCTCAAAAAGATATATACAGGGGCCGGGGAGAT